TTACATGAAATTATCATATTATAAGATTGTTTGACGTAAGTTTTCGCGAATTGTTGACATTCACTTTTCACTATAAACCGTAATTAATAATTATTATGTAGAGCTGAAAGTTCATGTAATAATAAGAATTATCATAATACTGATGCAATTGTTTTTAATAAAAATTGTTTTAGTTCTTACATTATTGGAACTTGCAACTTATTTATTTATTATTTTCATTACTCTATCATCACATTACACTAAGCCTGGGTTGCACCATCTTACTTTAATTTTGACAAACGTCAAAAATCTGTCAATCTCCATACAAAAACCCCGGTTACCGTTATAGTTACGGTCAAAGTTAGGTGGTGCAACTCAGCCTAAGTGAATTCTTTTCAATTGAACTCCCTTCACACTTGTCTAATCACAACAAATGAAATTCTGAGCACGATCAATAAATCACGTACAAAGCTTTTCTTTAAAAGTTCAATCCATTCAGGTTATTGTTATATAATACTTTTAATATTATCTCCATTGTTTTTTAGTTTGATCAAAAAATTCTAGTCACGTTCGACTGTTTTTCGATAAAAAGTTTGGTTGGAAAATTATTGTGCTATTTTATGCTATGTAAAACGTTACTTTTAAATAAATAACTCTACTTACGAGTAAGACATACTAAAAGTTTTTTTTTATAACAGCATCGCGTATGTCAAGCCTAATGATAAGATATCAGCTTAACTATGACACATACAGTAAATGGAATCTGTACTGCAGTTGCCTGTGGTGCTTTACCTGTTGGTGCCTTGAATGTAATATCTTACTAATTTTAAAGCATATTAACCAGTTCTAACCATCTCAAAGATGTGGAAGGTTTCTAAAAGTTATACGATTTAACATAAAAAATCAGTTTTTTTACAATTAATCAAAACAAAAGAAAACACAACTCTGTTGTATCGATGTCACGGTGTCAAAATTCGGTAATTATTTTTCCTCTCGTCACTATTATATCTAATAGCATCTATAAGTATTAAAATAACTTGCTACGCGTACAGACGACAGCACGTTTATCTAAACTGTAGCTCTTATGCAGTCGTAATAAAAGCTGTTTTATTTTAAAAATATGTAGCTATGTGCTGTCGAGCGTACAAGCCTTTCCCTCGGACCTCTGACCTGAGGGAATCGTGATATGGGCCTCCGAGGACTTTCTAACAAATTATTTTCAACTGTGAACTCAGATTGTCGACATAGCTTAAAGGTTTATACTAGCACATATCAATTTAGAAAATAATACCTTTAGCCACGTTCTGGTATAAATAAGTATAGATAAAGCTGGACAACATTGTTAGGCTGAGTTACACCACCTAAATTTGACCGTAACTTTAACGATAACCGGTATTTTTGTGTGGCGTTTGACGGATTTTTGACGATTGTTAAAGTAAGATGGTGCAACCTATGGCTGGGTAAGTCCCAGATATGACATTGACAGGAGGGAGTTACTAGCAGTTACAGCACTTTTTGATCGAATCGAAAATGGAATCCGTCAAAACTCCATACAAAAAAGGGGCTTTTCGACCACTTTTCGACTGGTTTGCGATTATAATTTGCACTTTGTCTAGACCCACAGGGTTATTAGTTCCGAATTTTGATACTCTTCTCTAAACTCTTCTTTTCAGAGTTGTTGCACTTTATTTATTGATAATTTTCTTATTTCAAATCTCATAGGTTTTTTTGCTTTTGTGTTACAATATTCTTCAAAAATCTGAATGAATTAAATAAAAAAGAAGGCTCGTTGTCTCTCTATAATTCGCGTAGATAGTGGTTAATCAAAGTTACTGCGAATAAGTTTTGGCAATTTTGCAAATAAGAATTATGGAAATCTACTGAAAAATAATAACCTTCTCAGTGATAACAACTGTCTACAGTATTTTTGCGCATGCGTTATGCATAGCTTATTTTTATTGCTTTTTAACCTAGAAACAAGAATAACAACAAAAAATTGTTCTGAATTTGCTTGCATGTGTAAAAAATATAAAAATTCATATCAATGAATGTATGAAACATGAACATAGAGATGATTTAATTTGTTGCCAAATATTTTTTTTCTTTCTTTCTTTCATTATTTCTAATTATTAAAACATACCAAACATCCATTTAACATTCATTCTCACAAGAGAAAATTTAAAAAAGAGTCCAAATATTTATTAAAAATGAAAAGTTATAATTTCCTGTCATGTTCCATAGAAGATTTTTCTCATAAAAATCTAACCCTATCGTGCTTTCAGCATACTGGCCTTGGTAACGTCGTCTCTCAAATCCCACTATATTTTGATGAAAGCGTGCCCCTTGTTCTTGCGAATAAGCCCCCATAATTATCTATAAATATATCCCAATGAGAATGTGACGTGCATCTTTAGAGACATTTTACTATGAAGATGGAAAATTCAAATCGCTATAACTTCTTAAAAAGCAAATATTTTTGATTTGTAATCGCACTTTTTTATCTAAATTTGCTTATATAATCAGAATATAATAAGTAAAACTCATGCGCAAAAAAAATGTTTTTTTGTTGACTGGTGTAATATTATACATCTACCTTTACTTTTATCACAGGAATTAAGGTAGTTAACTGAAAATGATAGTAATATGTTTACCTTAGTCAATTACCCTGTCCTGTAATAATGTCATTAGATTTATTTACAAATAATAACTGCATAGCGTTAATGCTTTCGTGACCGGCGTAACTATTAAGTAATTTCCACTATCATTCCATAAATACACCAATAAACAAAAATGTTATCATTTATCTTGATCAAATACCACTGACATAGTTGTGCTGCTCTCGTAAAATACACTCTACATTAGTTAACTTAAGATGCATTTTGTAAAGTACGATGTAGGAATTTAATAAGTTTTGTAAAAACAACAGCACAGCAAACTATACATTTGCGTCGCAAACTCGCCTCTATTTACGTAGGACTTAGAAGCCACAGTGTTAAGCTTCATGTGCCTTCCTCTGTACAACGTAATACCACATGAGCGACCTTCGGGAACGCTTATGCTATGCTCCGCTCTACGCATTGTAATAAGGATTGGGATACCAGCTGATAACATTTACCCCGTTTTAGGGAGAATATTCCACACGGCCACTGAAAAAAATTTCAGAAAAAATCTTCATTGGATTTCCAGGAAAAATAAACGACGATCGCTTAACGGCTAGAGTACCTTCTGCACTCGCCACTCTGCCCGGTGAAGCTAGAAAAGCTCTTAAAGCTACCGGCGCGCGTCCCTTCAAAAGAAAAAGTTAAAATATTAAGGTGACCATTCAAGAGAAAACATTGAACTGTGTAATTAGTTTTTCAAGCTTTATTAAAATCGTAAGTAAGGTACTTCAGCAAAACAAAACATTATTCAAAAATGGTCAAAATTATTCAACTGCAAATATTAAAAACGTAGCTGTATTTTCTTTCAAAGATCTACCTATCTACCAGTTTTTACCAAGCACGACCTTATCTGATCTTAAAAACCAATTACCATTCAAATTCATTTGGCATTGCATAAAACGTGGATATTACTAACCCAACTTGGCCACACCGAATCACAGGACGCAGTCATCTTAGTAACGTTCTTTCAACTAGACGTACTCTGTGTTTTTGTTTGTTTTTTCCACGTGGTTTTAGGAAGACAAAGACATTTTAATTTTAATGTCGCTTTAAGTAAATCTCGTGCGGCTTGTAATAGAATTGGAGCCGTGCGAGATTTATTTCGAGTGATGTTGAAATAACCGCCCCTGAAGTCTGCACACGTGTTATGGTGAATGTATGGCGTATTGCACATGTTTAAGTAAAGTATTTTAGTTTTATTTAAAAATACATGCAAACATTTTTGACTATTAATGGGTGTTTGGTACCCATCGTAGTGGGTGTACGAAGTGTAAAAACTACTGAATGAGTTAAGATAAAACTTTAGGAAACTTTATCATCAATTTAACATAAGTACATACTTACTTTATACATTACTGTTTTGTGATTTCACTGTTTCGATTTTTAGTACAAACTTAATAAAGCTACACAGTATTTGATAATCTTCTTGATAAAAATCCTTAGATATTTTTAATTTAATGATTATCAAACAAATATAAATAAAGCTTTAGGTACCTACTTATTGTTCACTCATAACAATAAAACGTAATCCCAACAAAAAATCCAAGTTCGTTACAGATTTTTTACTCCAACACTTTTTAAACTGGTACAAAAACAAGTTGATTCAACAACTGGTTTCTTAGCATGAATAATCAAAAGTCCTTGAAATATAAAACCGCATGCCTTCCTTTTGTTTAAGAATGTAAAAAGTCTAGTAGTTTATGGTCGCGGCTTAAGTGGATTTCATTACTTAACAAAAAATTTTAACTAACTCGGAGTTCATTTTACGGAAGAACATCCAGGGATTCCGATAGAACGAAGTCCATAGGCTCGATTGCACCATCTTATGGAATTGAACAATATTCTGACGTGTGAAAGTGTTAAAGAACTCTAACGTCAAAATTCTGTCAAACTCCATACAAAAAACACCAGTTAACGTTATAGTAAAGGTTAAAGTTAGATGGTGCACCTCAGCAGCAATCTTCCTACGTTTTATCTCCCGATAAAATTCATAAAGAGGTATTTTACATAAATTAAAGCTACGCATTCTCTGGAAACATAATAATAATATGACGTGTAACGTTGAATGCTCAACATAATATTTCACTAACGACGACGATAATAATATGATGAAGGTAGAGAAGCGAGAAGCACCTTGATGTCTTTAGGAAATCATTGAGGATTCCTTTGTCCAGCAGTGGACGTTGGACGTCCTTTAGCTGAAACGTCGAACGATATTTCATAAACATGTGACATTGTCAGAAGTTCTAAACAGTTTATCACGTTCGTGCTCTGTGTCACCAAACAATCTTTCATCGCGTATTTGTCAACATTTTTCAATTGTTTTCATTCGATCTAAAACACGCTCTCTCTTTCTTACAGATCGCGCTCCTCCTAGCCGGTATCATGGCTCTTAAGAAGCTCATGTCAGCCAAGGGCGGCAGCAGCGGCCATGAAAGCCACGGCTGGTCCTCCGGAAGCGGTGGCGGTGGCGGTTGGGACCGCAGAACCTACAACGACGTCTCAGATCTGGCTTACTCCGCTTACAAGAAAGACTAAGCTGAATAAGCTAGGCTATAATAAGCTTATTATTACAAACTAGCCTATACAAGCGAAGCGAGCTAATTGGACTTATTTCTAAGTGATAGTAAGTTTAATTTAGCTTTTCCAGCTTTTTGAAGCTGAAAAATTCAAGCTTTCGTGAGCTAGATTAATAGATAAGCTTATTATTATTATAAGCCAGTGAATTTTTAAGCTTGTTGATACAAGATAGATTAATTTATAGGCTTAATGATACAGGCTATACAAAATACGGCTGTAAATTTGAATTGTTCAAAAAGTTAATGCGTTCATTTTTTTTTCATTTGATAAAAACAATGCCATTTACCATTCTTGTTCGTTAAAATAAAACTTAGAAATCGCTAGAGGCCTGAAGATTTTGAGTACATTAATTTTTCATGTCATTTTTTGAAAATTGATCCATAGGGTCAATACCTAGTACTTTTTATTAAAAGACCTTATTTATTCTAGTAATAAGACGTTGTAATATAGTTTAATTTATTTAATTTATTGAAAACCTGTGCCTGAATACTCATTAATTTGTAAAGTTATTTTTGTAATTAATGATAGTGGGGTGAATGTCGTTTAATTTTTGTTTTGTTACTTTTTGTTTGTTTTTGTTTATGTTTTGTTACTTTTTCTCTTGTTTTGTTATTCTTAAGTTGAATATAATTATGTTGGGCATAAATGTGTGTGGTACTGATACGAAAATGCATTTCTTTTTTGTAGATGGAAAGTTTTAAATAAAGTTATATGAAATAAAATATTGTGGTTTTGTGTAACACTAAATGAACGTAAATTAATAAAAATAACAGTTTTACCTTACAGCTAGGAAAAAATTTCAGGGCTAATCGGTAGTGTCTGGTGTTATACTTAAATTTTTCTTTGATTAATTAGAAAATTTAGCAAAACACTGATTTTCTCTACCTGGTACTGTTATTACTTTCTTTGAAGGAAGATAGATGCGAGAATCTATTGGTATGAACTGAACATAATTCTTGCAACAAGCCGTAGTAACGGAGATCCTCTTGCTCGATAGACCGACGACCTTAAGAATATAGCATGTAATAAAGAAAGAAGAATAGAGAAGGAGAGGCTTGCGCCAAGCAGTGGCCTGTTTTTTCTTATAAGTGACTCTCTAAATAACTAGACGATACTCATGCAAATAGGTACCTACTCAATCCTATCCTAAATATTAACAGTACGTAAATAAATCAAAGTAGGTAAACAAACAACTCAACGACAAGGTGGACCGACGACATCATAAAGGTAGCAGGAAGGCGCTGGACGCAGGCCGCTACCAATCGATCAACATGGAAATCATTGGGGGAGGCCTATGTTCAGCAGTGGACGTCTTATGGCTGAAATGATGATCATAAACAACTCAAAAATTAGGGCAATCGTATCACTTAGAACGTTTTAACGTTCAATCAATATTGACAAGTGATTCCATAATCAGGCAAATAATATTGATAACTACCCAAGGGACTCTAGCATTATCATGCAAATGTAAACCGATGAGGCACGCGACCAAAATAATGTATTATAATGAGGTATAGTAATCAATAAACGGTTCAAAAGGGCAATCGGTTAATCATATTTTTGAATAGACAATTACTGAAACGAAAAAAATTATGGCGGATGGGGCAGCAAGATTCTGGAGTGGAGGTAGGTCACGTCGTCGCAGTGTAGGATGTCTACCTATGAGGTCGAGGGAATCGAACCCACGACCTTTCGCTAACCGGGCGACTGCTCTTCCAACTAAGTTACTTAGACACTGGATAAACCCGTCGAAGTCAATGTTATTCTTCAGTTATTCGATTATCCCACAAGGAAGACCGACTAGCTCATAAAACTAGAAGGAAAGCACTGGATGCAGGCCGCTACCAACCGGCTAATCTGGAAATCATTGGGGGAGGTCTTTTTTTTATTTATTTATTTTCCATATAAATACACACAGTAAACATCAATATTTTCTGCCAAACTGTGACACAGTTTGTCGGCAGCAGTTCTCACAGTACTACATAGCCTCTAAATAACATTATACGTATAGGTACAGACGACGGCACGCCAAGTTAAACACTTAGGTTGAATTGCACCACCCCACCCCAATCGCGACCACAACAACCGGTCCCTTCTATATGGAGTTTGACAGACTATCGTCCTGTGGCTGAAATGATGAAATTGTCAAAGTCATCAAAATTTCTTTATTTGTTTAGACTAATAAATAGTTCTTATGAATCGTCATTTTGTCATGGACTTATGCCTGAAATGATAGTGATGAGATCGAAACAGCAGAGCAGCATAAGTTTAACGTCTGCTAAACAAAATGAGAAAATTTCTGATCCTAAAGGGGACGACTCAAATATTTTTTTTTTTATTTTACCAATATCGAAAATTTGAAAATAGGTCGTGGTAAACAAGTACAATATCGAAGTCTTAAAAATAGGTCGTGGTAAAAAAGCCAGATCGTATTTCAGTCCAAGATTAGGCCTCTTGAAGTTCTGTTAGTTCCACATTTTTCCGTAATACAAAAGCATAAATGTGGCTCTGTACTGTCTCGAAAAAAATACTCTTCTCTACATTATTTTTAGTTCATCATTTCTCCAGCAAACTAGATGGCGTATATTTATACAACAATATATCTAAACAACGCCATCTAACTACCGAGTCTTGAACTAGTTCCTAGCTTCATTTGAAGTGCGTTAAAAATATTGTTACAATCAATAAATACTAGCGCTAGTCAAGTTTTTCTGCACGTAATATATTTGCGAGGATATTTATTATGAAATACGAGTTTAATAAATAATACTGACATTTTCGGTGTCGACTTATCACAGAAATCCATTTGATAATTGTCGTCGTCAAAATGATATATTATTATTGAAATAATACTGACACTTTGTCTGTATCACAGAAAAATTGACACATTTAAATAAAAAAATGGAATTATTCACATTTTTTTAGGGTTAACATAGTGAACAGTCTCATACTATTAAAAATAACAAGTGTCAAACATAATCATGAAAATTTATTGCGAATTCATTTGTCAATAAGTACGATGCATAATTGATAACTAGCTTGTAGAGACGATGGCCAAACAAACTTATGTTAGTAATATTAGTATGATTATTAAATAGACTTCCATCACTCGTAAAAAACTCTATGAATTAATTATACATTACAGACATTACGCGTTAAACTGAAATTAATGAAATAAATTAAATAATTGCGATTTTTTCGAGAGATAATCGTCTAATTATTTAAAATTAAAGGTAATTACATCAGTATTACTGGTATTACCTATCCGCGTGTCGCGTTAAAACCCAATTTAATTAATTCAATTACGCAACGCGAAAGTTTAATAATAATTATGAAAGGACTATTATATTCAACAACGATATTATATTTTGAAGGTGCGTTTGCAAACTTGTATTATCATCATTTTAGTAGACCTGTTATGTTATTTAGGGATAAGTAAATAAAAACACTTACGCCCGTTTTCAACATCAATCCCTAATTTTTAAGTGACCCCTGTGGTAACACATACCTAACAGGAATTTTGTTTTCATATGGGTCACTTAAAAATTAGGAATTGATGGTGAAAACAGGCATTAGGCTGGGTTGCACCATCTTACTTTAACTGTGACAAACGTCAAAAATCTGTCACAATCCAATACAAAATACACCGGTTATCGTTATAGTTACGGTCAAAGTTAGGTGGTGCAACTCAGCCTTAGTTAATTTAGAAGTATGTAATGTAAGTATCTCATAATACATGTTAATCTTTTTTGGACATAACGAGGCTTAGGCTTTTTCTAATAACTAGTCTTAGCCTAGCCACAGACTTCAGACTTTATATCGGCCGATAGTTGGGTCGGGCCGTTAATCAGTATGGACGTATGTGTGAAAATGATCACATTGGTATCCGGTCGAGGGAATCTTATTGTTCAGTACAAATTAGTATCCAAGCAATTAGTTCATACATCATCACTCTTTAATCAATTGTTTGTTTTACAGTGATAACTAGCAATTATCGATGACCACACCTTTTTTATAATTTTTTTGTAGAGAGGACAAGTCAACAGCCTCGTTTAAGATAAAACTGCTCCCAGTTCAATAACAATAAACTGAAGATAGTTATTATATTTGTTACTTTTCATTTTAATCGATCATTTAGAAGAAAAGTTTTCGAGTGGCGATCAAGGGCTGCAAAACGAAGTGTAGGCATGCCGCCCACTCGGTTGACCAAGGGTCGCAAGAAGGGTCTATTCCACTTTGATCACCTGGATTAGATCACCCAGGTGATAAGAAGTCCACTTTGATCACCTAGGTGATTTTAGATTTTTCTAAAAAAGAAGAAAACCATACACATGAAATTCGTCGGTCTGCCAGACCAAACTACGATTATAGAAACGTAGCTTTTTCAGTCTTGAATTACCATTCCAGCTGTCGTCTGACACACTACTTTTTTATTGCCCCAATTATAATTGTTGTCTGTAGTTTTCTTTATAATTACGTTTGATTCTGAACAGCGACTTCCTAAGTAATCACTTGGTAACAAACATGCGTGGAAGCCCGAGCTTCCTTCTAAGTGCACGCGAGTCTAGCTTTAACACTGGCGATTTTAAACGCGGCGGTTGAAACGCGGCTGGAACCCGCTGGCAGAGAGAAGTAGGGACTTATTCATTCATGCGTTTCGGTATCTGGAAGTCCAATGCTGGACGTAAGCCTAGTAACGCCAAAAATCACTATCTACCGCTTTTATCAGCTATCGGTCGTCATTCCATCAAGCAGGTTGAAGTTGGTGTCATTTTTTATTCCCCTGTGACTGTAAGGTACATACACATAAGGGACTTTTAACATTTTTTATCGGGTATTATTTTCCGGGACATTTACATTTCGCACCACTGATAAAACTCATTTATTTTTGCAAATAGGCTTTTGAAAAGCACTAGCCTACCGCTACTTCGGGACAATAAATGGGCCAGTGCTGAGAAGGAGCAGCGCAAGAAACTCACTATTGTCAGCCTCCTTTTCCAGGGTGTAAAGTCTTTAAAAGGTAATAAATATTAATGCAAGCTAGGCAGTTAAGTTAACTGTAGTAAGGTCTGTAAAATAACGACAGTG